GCAGGAAAGTAATCGTCATTCTGGTGTGCAATAGCTCAAAGATTAGAATTTGTTTTGTAAGTAAAAGTCAGTGAAATTGGTGTCATTGTACGCGGAGGACACTTCACCCAGTGAAACCATGTGGACATTCTGGGCAGCAGTGAGCCCGAGTGACAATATATCTGTATTACTGCTGCTCCTAGAAAGGAAGGGGGGCAGCAGGTGCTACAGCAGGAGCGCTTAAGTGCGTATGTTCTGCGATGCTCTCTGCATTCATGGGGAAAGCAGTAATGGTTAGCAACCCTGGAGCTTTGCATAGTGCATGCTATCCACACAAACCAATACAAGCACAGTTAGCTGCAATACAAAGAGCAGAATCAAGCACAGCTGGAGTTGGAAGACTTAAAGAAAGGTGAACACACAGGTAGGTTTACTTGAAATCACTGAAATCGGGGATTTTAGTCTCTTGTACCTCAGTTCTCTATCCAGGGAAGTCATTAAATTCATGAGCTCTTTCATCACAGCAATATGGAAATCATGTAAGTAAGTAGACAGATCCAGATATCTTGGCTAAAGACAGATGGTTAATGCCTTAGTCTTAAAAAATGCTCAAGTTCTTAAATGTTTTAACATGTGCTGAGAATCTGAACTCAGTAACTCTGGAGGTAGCTCCAGAAATCTACAGAGGCCAAATGTGTGGACAGCTATAGTGAAGATCATGAACTTCCTTAAATTTTGTTGTTAGGGGGAGAGAGGGGGGAAAAATCAACAAAAAAAATCAACAGAGAACAAACAGTGTGGACCAATTCGTATTGACACTAGGAGCCAACAGTGCAAAGGGCTGAATGAGCCGTGTGGTTCCGGAGCGTGCCAGCACCTCCTGATTCAGGGTTATTAAGTCAGGAATTTGTGCCAGTTTCACAGTGAAGCTGATTCGAGCTGTGTGAGGAATTTCAGACTCATTTCAGTACCTGCTCCATGAAATCCTCCACAGAGGTACAGCTTCCCCTCCACGGAGCCTGCGCTCGTGGAGTTGGTTCGTAAGGAGAGGAGAGGAGAGGGCATCGCAGGACCATCCCTCCAGAAGTCTCCGTCGGGGTTATATATCTCCACTGCATCAAGACATTTCCGTGTCTGTCCCCTGTCGCGACCTAGGCACCCAATTCCTCCTGCAAAAGAAGATACCTAGGTCAACTCTAGCAGCCACAGGCTTTCGCTGAAAACATATTGTTGGTTGCATTATTTTTTATTCACATGTTCTCATTGCACTCCTTTTCCTTTTTTTCAGCTCCACAGCTTGCTAGAAAGTGATCTCACACTGCACGTTATCTACAGACATTCAAGAAGTCATCTTTCTGAAGCTTGATATCAAAAGAAGCACAAGCAGCATGTCTTCAAAAAGAAAAGGTATTTTGTCTTGTTTTCTGACTATGCAGTAGAAATTCTTGTAATTACTTATTCTGCGTGCTGAACAAATCACTAGTATTGAGTTTCAGTGTATCAGGTTTTTTTTCTGTTACTGGGTTTTACCCGCAAACTTCTTAACCAACCATCGTTTCGATTTACTTGCACTTTTTCAACACAAGAAAAAAAATTCATCCTTTTCTCAAGGGAAGTCAACTTCAAGAGACAAAACTGTCTGACTTGCTAGCCGACTGAGCCATGTGTGACACATCCGACAGCGGATGGGTTAATCAGGGTGCCTGAGGTCCGTCTGCAGCATTGAGACAGGTCCCTGTTCTCCTTTGCTGGGTCATGCTGCAGCAGGACACGCACACACCCGCAGCCTCAGAGCACCCCGCAAACACAGTACACCCAGAACGCAGTGTGAACACTGCATTTCACAACTCTTCCCAGTGATCAGATCCAGGTTTTGAATTCACAGCCTTTAGTTCTCCAGAATGAATATGCTGACATACCCTGGCAGGTTTTCCATCTCTGCCAGTGGTTGCAATACCCTGTAACGAGCACTGATGGCGTGCGGAAGCGGCTCTTTTGTGCATATGCGTGGATGTGACCACTTTTACACATAAAATGACAGTGAAATGCACGCAGTTCCCTCGTGAAGGGCTGGCTTTCCAGACACACTTGTAGGACTACTCAGTTGTGCAAACTGCCGTGGACGGTACTGCGTGTGGTTGTACCTTTGCACGTGGAAAAGGTAATGACTGCAAATACAACCTGTGCAGGGTTGCTGAGGCTGCTTTTAAAATAACACTGCTCGAGCACAATGCTGTTAACATGATCTGTCAAATAAATAATATCTATCAGATAATCTCACACATGGTTTTCCATATTCCTCTTAATGTGGACTTTTGTTTTTTTTTAACATTTTGTGCACTCTCCAGAAGTATTTGCAAGAGGCAACATGTAAGAAGCGACCATAATGCTCTGAGTTTGCCTCTACTGTCTTTTTGTAACAGGTAAAGCACTTATGCCTGCATCAAATCAGCAAAATAAGAACCAAATCCGGTGTCCATTATCATCAGCGAAAGCCTTCCTTGAGCTGAGCTTAGTGATGTACATACTGTGTATGTGCAGATATAGAGTGCAGCATAGCCTACAGGGAGATACCCAAAGCAGTTTTCAATGGAAACCAGTGATATTAAAGTTCCCCGCAGATTAATTTAATGTGCTCAAAATATTCTCCGTGGTGCCAGAGACAGGCTGCTGCTGTAGGGTTACCGCAGGGGTTGCTGCACTGCGCTCAGGAGTATCCATCGCCCCGAAGCAGAGGCTTCATCTGAAGAATGAAAGAGCATATTGCTCAATTGAGAGAAATTGCTCAATTAGAGGAAGAATGGTACCAGCTAGGGCACACGTAGAGCATATCAGAGTCAATTGAACCGCTTTTCTAATTGCCTTATTTCATTGGTGTCCGTAGCCAAAATGCTCCAGAACTTTTCTAGAAGCATAATTGATTTTTCTTTTTTAGTGCATTTTTATTGTCATTTTCAAAGTTCAGTAGAAGCAAGGCATAGTAACTTAGAAAAGAATAGAAATGATCATGTAATCAGGTGGAGTACTGATATAGCCCAGTTATTAACTTCTGGAAAAAGTCCTAACGATCACCAATTAATGAAGCCATTCAGCAGGCAACCTGGGAGAGAAGCCCTCAAATATTTGCCATGTATAATTATTAGAGAAATAATATTTAGTGACCTATTAGAGCCTCTTTACAACAGTTTAAGAGCTAGTGTGTATTTCCAAACGTTTAGAAATCCTTCATTGAGTAGTTTAACTCCTTTAAACTTATTATCCTCAGAGAGGGAGAATCCTAAAGGTACAAAGTTTTATTTACACCCTCAGCCATTTGAGATAAATGCAATTTCAGGTTAATTTTACAGTAAACACAAAACTAAGTTCTTGTCAAATAGAAAATGAGAAGAAAATCAGATGGGAGTCAAGTTTAATTTTCAAGCTTAAAAAAATCATATTCCATCATATTCCATAAACCACGAGAAATCAAACTCACAGAAGAAATTTCAATGTCGCCCTTTAAAGTAATGCTAACCCTGAAATACTGTCACCAAAGGAATCTGAGGATATTAGTTTCTCCCAGCACTGCTTTGCTGTATTCCCCAATGCAGCAGTTCAGAATTCCTCCTGCGAGGTGAAACTCTTCTTTTTCCCCCTCTCTGTGCAGACTGATGTCTCGAGCCTTTTCCCCAAGAACAGAGCACACAAACTGGCAAGAAAATTTCTCAAGCTTAAGTCAGCCCATGCCTGCAACTGAGTGGGGACTTCTGACGTTAACCAGACTATCCATCATATCTACGATGTGTCTGCCATGCAAGACTTCAAATTGGCAGAAAAAAAACCAAAGAAGGCAGCTTCACGTGGCAGGCAATTCACCCTGCCTTGTACTCAGTCGCTCAAAGGTCCAGATCATCCTATCTATCTTCTTTATACAGATTTATGAAACCACTAGAAGCACAATGTAGACATGTGGAATTGCAGTGGGGACCAGGAGGCTTCTCTTTATTTTCATCTTTATCTTTTCTGGGCAGAGCAGTTGAGCAAGAGGGTTTCTACTCGTTCCTGCAGGAACCTCTGCATGAAATGGAGGTCCCCTTGAAGGGGCTAAGAAGGAAGCAGTAAAAAGAGCAGAGGGTTGTAGGTCATTTCAGGGAGACTCTTGTGCCAGATGATCTGCCAAAAGTACCTGAGCAGGAGGGGTCATTTCTGTGTATTTTTTTGTGATTGTTCCTTAAACGCCCAGAACTATAAATGCTGTGGTCCCAGCCTCCCAGAGGTCCCCAGAGGTGCTCAGGAGGCAGTAAATGCAAAGAGCTGGGGTGGACACTGTGAAGAGTCTCCCATTATTAACCCATATTCACCTCTCTTGTCACAGAGTAGGTGAATTCAGCACCACCTAGTTCAGTTCGCCACATATAGCCCGATTATATGTCCTTTTTGCAGAGGGAGATGAATTTCTCACTGGCATTTTCAAACGTTTCTGTCATTTTCACATCCATCACACAAGAGGATTTAATCCCAGAACTCAGTTCCCCCCTTTATAAATACATCCTTTCAACATGTTAGGCTTTTTATGTTATTTGCTTTCCCTGGGAGATATTTCAGATACCACTGAAAGACTAAAATAAGCCACCGAAGCCACCTTTGTGTTCCCAAAGCCATTAATGCTTGAGAGCTCTCTGTATCACGCCTGGATGAGTCCACAATCAAACCTTCTTTCAAGGGCACTCCGTAAGCAGTGGTTCTAATGGGTTTTAAATTTAACATGAAGCTCCATTAGTAAAATAAATATATAAACACAATATATGATCTTTATTAAGAAATCAGGATAAAAAAAGACAAGCCTTTGATGCAAGAAGGCAAAGCAAGGTAGGTGATGGGATTACTACAGTGTCAGAATTTCAATGAGGTGTTCTGTGCCTTGCTGTACCCACACACTGTTCATAACTGGCTGGAGGCAAAACATACTGCTTTGCTTTAGGTCGGCTGCCTCCCCCTTCTTCCATTCTTATTTGAGAAGACGAAACGTGGTTTGAATCACATCACTTCTAATAACAGAACGCCCTTTCAGCAGCAGAGTGGGAAGGTCTGTGAAGGGGTAAATAACATCCCTGGAAATAAGTAGTTCAGCTGATGCGAAGGATATAAGTGCCTTAAATGTGCCTTGTATCTATATGCATCTATAGGAAGGGGCTAGCATATAATTAAGTTGCAAGAGATAGGGAATATTCCTACCTGCACTTGCCCGGTGACTTCACTTGTGTCACTGGAATTGACTCTTGTAACAGCTGCACTGATCCATAAAAACTGAGCACTGGCACAGCCAGGTTTGCGGGCAGCGAGCCCGACCTGCACAGTCTGGTTGTCAGGTTAGCTATCCAGATCCCCATGTGGATTGCTCAGTGCACAGGGAATAGACAGGGTGGCTTACCAAAATGATACCTACATGGTTATTCATGACCAGATAGCAGCAAAGAGAGCCCATGTAGTTCATTTAGAGGGGAATGGTGATCTGGACCTCTCATGTCAGGCTTTATACGCTTTAATTTGATTACTCCACAATCAGACAGCTAAAATGGGAGATAAGGCACAGTCTTTCAGCTGGGGCAGTATGTGAGGAAGCAGCGAGCGCAGGGCTGTTCCCTGGGGAAGGTGAGGTGAAGCAGAGCCCCAGCATCGGGACACATCCCGCAGCGCCAGAGGCAGGCGAGCAGGGTGGGCATGGATGCGGGCCCAAGCAGTCACACTGATCGTCCAGCCTTAGCCTAAGGAGCCACCTGTGGCCCCTTGGTTTGTGAGAGTGGAGGCCCCAGGTGGGTAAAGCCTGTCTGTGCTCGCAGGGTCCTGACACGCTTCTTTGCTATGGGATTGAGCCCTCAGATCACAGGCCTGAGCAATCTGTATTCCTCGTGCCTGTTTGAATTTTTATTAAAGGAAACTGAAGATGGGTGAAGAAAGGAGTAGTTTGCCAATACGCATGCGAAATCTGAGCTCCTGCTCTTCTCCTCCCATAAAATAATTCACTATTAAATTGATCTCTGGAATGCACAATGGATTTAACAGTGCTAATCTCTTATTTAACATTTCCCTTCATTACTCTTTAACAGCACTCAAGCAGAGAGCCTCAGCACTTACACTGCTCTCCAGCCTCTTTAAAGCGGGGCTGCGTGACTCGTTCCGTGGAGAGCGG